ATACATTCAATCAGTTCTCAAAAGCTCATCTCAAGACTAGTTGCTCCCCTGTCTAACAAAGGGTGCCTAGGGGTCCACTCGAACCCGATTTTGGGGTAGAATCAGCAAATAAATGATACGCTCTGTTCGTTATCAGAACACTTAATCTCAGATGAGGGATTTACTCTTGAAATTTGTGAAATGATGGCGCGGAGCTCGTGGGAGAGGACGGAGGATCTGACGCTGTTGTTGTGGATATCGAAGTTGTTGATGCTTTGCGACATGCGGTGAAAGAGAAGAACCCGAATGCTCTCGCGAACTGTGATGCGTTCGACCTGACAGTGCTCGAGAATCGTGCGAAGTACGATGTGAAAGAATCTCTGTCGCTATGCTCATCAATCGAAGCGTTTGGGACACCAGAGAATGAAGCATTCATTGTGGTTGCTCGTGAGCCGATGATGAGGATGAAGGTACGTTATCTCACTTTTGCACACATTGCTTTTTGGTGATGGCGGTCACTTCAGCAGTGTACAAGCCATTTGATCCCCCATTGGTGCAGTACTTTATGCCGTCATCAAGATATTTCGAAGATACCCGAAGACGAAAAAGGATGTCTAAGTACTGGCGCTCACGTGTGGGAATGCTACTTGTTGGCATTTGTTTAATACTTACAGCGATGAATGAAATTTTGGACGTGTGGAAAACAAGCTGTCGAATAAGATCGAAGATGCGTACTCCTTTTCACCTCCTATCAAATTACCAGAAGAAGAGGTTGAAGAAGAAGTGCAAACGCTCTAAATGGTGGCCATTTTCTTGGTAGCAGTCGTCTCCATTCACTAAATTTTTAGTTAGTTCTATTTATTAAGCAATATTTGACTACGAACAGGTTGCAACGAGCCATATTTGAAACTGCTTCTCTTACACTGATAACATTTACATTGAAGCTTTTAATGCACTCAATGATGAATCTGCTAACTATGATATGCTCATTTTCACGGAATCGTCTAACGAATCACCTCATTGCAATTGATCAATGCAACGAATGCGACTTCAACTAATTCAAGCATCTTTTGGTACTACTACTGGCAACGATTTAGTTTTAATGACCACAACATCACAGACGCCTCTGCTGGTAGAGTCGGTATCGGAATAAGATCGCCATCGGCCACTTTGCACGTCTCTAGATCAAATTCATACACGATAAGTATTGGAGGAAAACAAATTGTTATCAATACAATGTACAAGGAAACATTTAGAGCAATCTGGGATTAGGCCCAGTCAGTGTACGGTGTCTGTGTGCAATCCATATACACAAGTCCTGTAGGCGACTCCAAGAGACTCTAACACCAAATTCAATCAATTTGGACTGCTATGATAAGTTGGAACGAGTCAGATTGGAGAGACCAAAGCAAAACTTGGACTGAGTACGCTGGATGCAATGGAAGTATGTGGTATATGCCAGATGAAAATATGAAAGTAGGAAAGCGACAGTGAGTGATCTGGATGGATATCAATATACTCTTGGGTTTGCGCTTTTAATGCTGCTGGTATTGAGCTTTCAATGAGAAAAGTACTTGAACAAGGTTCAGTTTAGATAGAGATTCCATCGAGCCAGCCTTTTGATTCAACTTTGGACTGCTTCATAGTATCTTGTGCTTTCTTGGCGGTCAAATTGCATTGTCTTCAAATATTATTTGCCTTTGCGCTGCTCGAGAGCTTCGCCAATTTTAAGTTGGATCCTTTCTTACAAGTTATTTCCAAATGAACTTTTGGAGCTAGTTGATATCGTCAGTAAATACATTTTTATCCCAGCATTTAACTTGCGTAATCTCTTCTCTTCCTTTCTTTCTTCATCATTACTGCTCTCATCAACATTCGAGTCTTCAAAGAGTTGTCGAGTATTCAAGGATTCGTCCTCAGCTCGCTTAGCAGCTTTTTTGTTGCTCGTTTGTCAGTGGGAGATTTGTTACGGAGTTCGGTTCGTTTTCGTCACAGATTTTTATTTGACTTCATCAGCAAAGTGATCAGCCTTTTCTTCACGCCATCGCATTTAATCCTTTCATCTAAATCTCTTCGTTTGTTAAGATAATTCCGAACATGGTCATCCACCAACTGTTTCAAAGTCTTTTTTCCCTTACTATATGCTCGAGTATTGATGACCTTTTGGACAACGTTATGCATGCCGCTATAGAAATCGTCGGATGAATCTTCAGGTGCTGTGGGTTATTCTATATCAATGTCTGCGTCAGTTGATAGCGCATGCTTCTTCCTACTAAACATAGGATTTCACTTGCTTCACCTTTGATAATTCCAGAAGGACGTTTAGGTAGCTTTTTTGTGGTTTGATCAAATTCACATTTAGGATTCAGCAAGTGAATCAACACTTGAAACACCCAACATCTTCTTTTGAATGAGTGCCTTCAGCTTTTTGCCTTGAACAAAATCGCTCTTTGCCATGACATTGTCATAGCGATCACATGCTTTTTGCTTGGTCTGATGATCGGAGAAAAAGCCACTCATGATTGGGTTGATTAGCCACGTATATTGACAAGATCAGCCTTAGACTGGTCCCAGCCATAGCCGTATCGACTGTTTCAACCACTTCATGCAATACGTGGTAATACATGGTGGGCACGTAGTTGCAGTTGGAAGCTCCAGACACGATAATACTCTTCATCGCTAAGAAGACGATGACCAATATCAACAACTACAATTTAGTACAAAGACTATCATTGACGCTGAGCAGCCGATGTAACATCATTAAGGCCGCCATCTCCACCTGACTTTGACATCTCTTGCACGAATAAATCATACCCAAAACTGACGGGTTGTTCCTAATAAGGACGTTTCCAACTATAATTTGAAGATTTTTCTACGCGGCAAATGGACTTGTCGTGGCGGGTACTGGCTACAGGAGAGATTAATCATATCCAACACCGTAGCACCTGCGGTTGCAGTTGATTAGTGATGACAAGTTGCATCATCAAACGCTTTGGGTTAGCAATGCCATTACTCACCGTCCAAGTGAAGTAGCGCCTAGCGCATCAGTGGATTTATTCGTAATTTGCTCGAAGTATCGGAATGTTTTCTTCAGAGAATGCATGGTCGACACTAGCATGGCTTAAATTTCACGGATACTACCAAAACTCGTATCGTTGCTGAAACTAGCAATAGTACGACACCAACCAAAACAGTAGAATTGTTATAATCCAAATAAATAACAGTGCACGTATTCATCTGCATTGGGCACTTCTTGTAATAGTCATAGATATCCCGATGCAAGCCAGATAATGAGCGACGTAAATGACGAACCAGCAGCAACGGCGCCAGCAGGAGCCACATAGACTTTGGGTTTCGATACGGTTTGAATATTTGCGCTACCTCCCATTACATCAAATGCAAGCTTTGAGCTTTATTGATCAATAGCAGGAGAGAGCAATGATTTGGCAGCTCCTCAGTTCGAGTAGGTGTCAGTCAATCCTTTAGCTATCATAAAAGACAAAGTAGCCAAAATTGTGCCGCTCCACTAGACCTTTGGATCGTTGACGTGGCACATTCATCCAATACAAAATTGCTTGTTTCAGTAAGAACCTTGAAAGCTATATTCACATTTTCATTAACTAGATTTTTTTGTACAGTGGTTCGGTCAATAACAACCTCCTATTGTACCGATTGATCACTCGAAATGACCGAGCCAGCACAGTGGAAGTTCGATAACGGCTTCTTTACAATAAACAAATATGGTTTGTGAAGAGATTAAATTGGATTTGTCTGGCATACTGACCGGTGTTAAACATTGAATCCTGGTTGTAAGTTCATTTCTTAATCTGGAAGAGCATCCCAGTTCGAATGCTAAACAGAAGAAATAGTTTATGCTATTAGATTGATGACGATTATGATAAAATCGCCGAAAAAATAAAGTATCATGAGCGAAAAGAATGAATAAATGGTTTAGAGCGACGTGATGATCAACTCATGAAACTTGTCAACTCACTTGGGGTCAAAATTATATCAAATTGACAGTTAAATTGAAAGAAGGATTACTGTAGGGGATGCGTTAGATCGAGAGCCATTATCCCTTCACAAAGTTTAAGAGTGAAAACCCTCATATGAGATTAAGAGTTCCGACAGCGGACAGAGCGTATCATTTAGGGTTTATCATCCGCTAATTCTACTTTGAAATCGGGGTCAAGCGTACCCCTAGGCACCTTTAGAGTTAGCGAAGCCAGTAATGATGTACTATATTATAGTACTATATAGTACAATATGTAATATTACAATAGTACATCATCTCTTTTTAAATGGGTGACTAGTGATGTACTATATGTGGGTCTTTAGTATATAGTACTACTATATATTACAATACGGTCAATAAATTAGTTGTAATGTCTTATATACAATTGCATATAGTACATCAACATTTATATATTGTAGTATCTAGTACTATATAGTGTATGACTTCAAGTACATCTCATAGGGACTATATAGTCTTTTCTCTTTGGATTTATTATACCGATCCCTGGCTCAATTAGTTTGTAGCTTGGTCTGGTTTTCGATACCCATAGGATCCAAATCAAGGACGCCGGAGATAGGTCACTTACGTGAACGTGCAATCACATTCCTGTGGTGCCCTGCCAACCCGTACCCAATTGGGTGTGTGATAATTGAGTGAAAGGAGACCGATAAAGTGTCATAGCGTAACAGGCCCGGTCTCGAAATGGGTCGATATCCCGCGCTAGAGAAAGCCTATTCCTAGCGTGTGGGCTCCAATAGCTTAAATCTCTCTATATAGTACAGTCATATATAGTTCTTTATATGTATTGTACATCGTCGCTGTCGACCCACCAAGATGTGGACCGGACTGGGTTGTCGTACACTTTACAAAGAATGCTTTGACATTTAGTGTCTGCACCCACATGGACATAGAGATTGGGCTCGTACACTTCATGTAACGAAGCTGCCGTAGCTCTTTGCTTAGATGTTGCAAAGTTTAGGTTATCGTTCTTTACAAGAATCAGAACGAGTGCAGCGGATTGCAATCCGCTACCTCTAAGTATATAAAACCTTAACCAAGGTTAAGACGCTTTTCCGTTCAAAATTGAAAGTATATTTAATATTTTTAGCTGCGGCAGAGCCGCCATATCTAGAATTTTAGGTTTTCTTAATTAATTTGTGATTACTAATTAATGTAGTCAAATCTCATTTATATGCATTACTACTGGCAATCCTGCCACATAGTGGATTCTTGTTAAGGCGTAGCCACGTTATTGTATGATTACACCTACATTTGTAATTCACACCTATGTACGGTCACACCATCTTGTGTGACCCCCCCTTTCATACAAGGGCACGTGTAACTCCGTTACACTCTGGGTACGAATAACCCCGCTACACTTCACTCGGGAGCAAAACCGATGTTTATCAAATACCAACTTTTTGCTCTACTACTTCAACTGTGACGTGAATTCCAAGAAATTGTATTAAAATTGATACTGTTCATAAGAAAATCACCCTCAATGCTTGAAGTGTTCTAATAGCCCATGTATACCACAAGAGGTCTTCTTTTCAGAGTCCATCATCGAGTTTTTAACAATACCGCGATTCTCTAGATGGTACAGTGTTATATGTTAATTCTGTACAGTTCTAGGCAATTGTTTATAAGGGA